CAGCAACCACTTACCATCAGGTGGACTGTGTGCTCCTTTGTCACCCTATCCTATAAAAAAATATTCTGGATAGGCTCGTAATTTGGCTCTTTTTACATAATACTGGCTATCTTGTCATCTTAGCATCATCATGCAACCAGTAACGGTGGCAATATGTTTTCTTCTTGGCTAAATACAACATCAATGCAATCGCAATATCGTCGTCCATATTCACTGGCTGAATATCTGTACTGAATCAAGTGGCATCACTCAACTGAGCCTTGTCATACCCATACATGCGAACGTTAAAAAAAACGCATGTGTGTGATGTTTGTACGGAATCCCGAATCGAAATTACGAAACGGTATCTCGAAACAGAATTCCGTATGTATGTGGCCGGCCTTAATATAAAATCAAGGACCCGTCACATAACTACGGTAGTTTTCCGTTCAAAATTTTGTGGCCAAAACGGGATTCCGTATGTGTTCCGTATGTGTGTTTCCGACCCGTTCGTACCGTTTCGGAATTCCAAAAAGGAATTCCGTATGTAGTGTGCGGCGGACCTAAGTGAATCCGAATCTCACATACATCTTTTTTCTTTCTTTATCAGCCCGTAAAATCTTACAAATGACCGCACACATGGATGCACCTAAATCCATGTTAATGGTTGCAAATGATTTTAGATCAATGATATTATAACTTACAATACAATTGGTTTAGATGCTAATATTCACGTGAGTGTATGTTCTTGCAATAACGCGAGCATGTTTTTTTTCTTTGTTTATGTACTCGTATCCATTGAAATATACGCAGCGTTCCGCTTTTCCTTCCTTTGATATGAGTATACTTAATTTTACAAGTATAGAGTAAAGTTAGATGGCGAAATATTCGATCGCATTTTGTATCTGGAATGATAATAACGTTCTTATTATTTGTAAATTTGAAAATGCTGAAGCATTATTACAAAATAATTGTGTATAGGACGCCGACAGAGCGGAATGCACGAGCGGGCTTGTAAGGGCGAGGGGGGTTCGTCAAATGGATTGTATTATTTCGTTTCTTAAATTTATTAGCGATTTCAGTTAGTTTAAGATTTGAAATTGACACTAAAATGGAAGTCAAGAAAAGCTGTTTCTAGTTTTCTTAATAGAATCCACAAATATTAATATTTTAAAAATAAAGTTCTCTTATAACTTTTAAGACCATAATATTTTCTAAAGTTATGAGTAATAAACATTTGTGTGAGATAAGCGGTTGATGGACATTGACAGGTTTGAAAAGTACTGTTTTGAGCTAATCAGCGCTTGGAACACGAGTACGTCCTCAAATTGATATTCTTGATTAGAATAAAATGCACTGTCCGTTCAAAATTTGAAGCTGTTTTTCTGTTGTGGGAAATCGAATTAAAATATTCCACTAAATACAAAAGGCATGTGTGAAATTTAGAGCTATTTTCCGCCTGCATATTGAATAGCTACCAGATACGAACGCTACGAAAAATTTTCGACCAGAATTCTAAGGGGCTTCTGATATATTATGATTATATTCTTATGATAGAAGAGAATGGAATAATTTTTTACCCAATACATATCACATGTACGTAAGTAATTTTTATTGAAAGAATTTTTTTAATTTACCACTGATTCAGAAAAAGACCTCTGTCCTAGGAAGAACCAGCAGGAAACACAGTGGGACTATTTCTAAAGTAAATTTTACAATATAAAAGCTGTTTGTACAACCTTTTATAGTTTGTACAAACTCACGTTAGGGAGTTTGCAGCAGTTACGGTTTGCGACCACAATAAAGGATACAGCCCTAAGTGCTATGGCTGTGGGGAAAGGGGCCATCTTTGATCCAGCTGCTCTAAGAGAACCCTAGAAACGGAAGGTGAACGATCTCAGAAGGGAAGTGCGGCTAACATCACCACCCAGCAGCAGCCGGGATACGACTTTGAGATCGAACATCGCAGCGGGAAATCTCATGGCAACGCAGATGCATTGTCAAGAAGACCTTGTCCTGAAGTTCGGAAACATTCTACTAGGCAAGAGAGTAAGGAAGTGGTATCCGTGAGGATGCTCAGGATAGACCACCTCAGCAACGAGTGGAAGGACAGCCTACGACATGCACAGCAGGAAGATCCGGACATCAAGCCGATTCTGGAATGGATGAAGGCCCGTGCTACCAAGCCTAAGTGGAGCGACGTCTCAGCGACCACTAGAGGCTATTGGGCCCAGTGAGACAGCTTGCTGATTCAGGATGGAGTCCTGAGCCGCAGATGGGACAATGGTCGAGGAGACAGCTGTCGTTTGCAAATGGTTGTCTCTAAAGCTAAAGTGCCGAATGTTCTACAGCTGTGCCATAATAGTCGTTCAAGAGTCCACCTGGGAGTTAAACGAACTCTACGGAAGGTCCAAGAACAGTTTTACTGGGTCGATTATCGTGACGATGTCGAGGATTGGTGTCGTAAATGTACAAGTTGTGCGGCTGTGAGGGGATCTTAGACACGTAGTAGAGGAGCATCGAAATTGTACAATGTTGGTGCACCACGGGATAGGACAGCCCTTGACATTGCGGAGCCGTTACAGAAAGGTGCAAGAGGGACTCCTAAGATCGTCCATGTGGATCGCCTGGCGCGTTATTATGGGGCCGATAATGCTCGGGACGAGCATGTCTTAGGAGGGGGCAGTGTTGCGCGGCTAAGTTGACATCTGGCAATAGCGCCATCTAGTGTCAGGTAACAGAGCGAAGAGAGAGCTTTCCAGAAAATGACATCACTAATCTTTCAACCGACAGCGCCATCTAGTATCGAATTGAAGAACTAAGCTTTCTGGAAGCCCCAAACTCGAACTTTCTGCGCTTGGTAGGCTGGCGCGCGTATTTACTCGAATATTCTGGAATATTCTGGATGTTTTCGTGGAAGAGCCCTATCTATATAAGGGCGCTGCAAGATGCAATCGGGGAAGTATTGAATTTGGCGAGACAAGCGAAGCTTCGGAGCGGAATAGAGTGAATTTGGTGCTTAATTATAAGTGTTTTTAGTTTTAATTTGTGTAAAGAAAATTAAAGTGTTAATTTAGGTAATTCTATCGGCAATTTTTATTGTCACGAACCTCAAGCTCGTAACAATATCTACCTTTCCCGGATCAGTTGTAAGTCCATGTTTGTCAACTAAATATCCCAAGTATTTAAGTTCTCTACGGCAAAAGATAGACTTATCCATGTTTATAGTCAAGTTTGCGTCCCTGAGTTTTGCGTAGACCTTATGCAAGAGCTGACATGTTCTGAGAAAGTGCTGGATATTACGATTATGTCATCTTGGAAACAGAATACTTTGTTGTTAAATTCGAGACCAAATATCCTATCCATTAATCTCTGCATTATGCTTGACGCGGAAACAAGGCCAAACGACATTACATTGAATCTAAATAACCCCCGGCGTGGCACTGTGAACGCGGTCTTATCAGCTGATTGCTCGCTATCATAGGGTATTTGCCAATACGCAGCGGAAAGATCTATTGACGTTAGGTATTTCGCGTCGCGGAGCTGATCCAATATGCTGCTTATATACGGGAGAGGATACGCATCGGGTTTGGAAACTGCATTTAATTTTCTACAATCTGGACAAAGCCTTAGGTCCCCATTTGACTTCTTAACCATTACTACAGGTGAGTTCCAAGCTGACTGTGAAGGTGACACAACTCCCAAACCAAGCATTCTATCCAATTCTTTTTCAAGTGCTTGTTGCTTAACAGGTGATAATGGATAGTACCCTTGCTTAATAGGTTTACTATCTCCTGTGTCTATGACGTGATGAATTAAATTGGTACGTCCCAAACCTACTTTAACTGTGTTAATTGTATCAAACTTTTGGATTAAATTATCCATGATTTGTTTTTGTTCTATGGATAAAGACTCGTATTCTTCAAGGCCTTTATTAAGAGAAACCGAATTTATGCTATTACTTATTGATGACTCCGACTTTCGGTCAAACTGTACTTCGGATACAAGGTCACTCCCTAAGTCAAACACCTGCCAAAAATCAACACCTAGAATTATAGGTGAAGTTATTTGTGCAATAACATAAAAGTTAATCATTCTGAAATTATTGTTAAATTCAATAGGTAAGGACATATATTCTAAGCAATGCAATATCGTACCATCTGCAGTTCTTACGTAATGCTCAGTGTCAAACCGGTTGAGTTGAAATCCGTGTTCTAAAAAGATCAAATGCGCATTGCACCCGAATCCAATAAGCCAAAAGCTTGTAAGTTCAATATTTTTAATTTTAAGTATGGTATTATATCACTAGTATTTTTTTTAAACAGAACTACCTCTTCATTATTGGACGTATAAGACCTATTTTTATTAAAGGTGTTGGATAGTTCCGTGTTAACTAGTTTTTTGAATTTCAATTACTACAATCTGTACGCTTAACACCTTTTAATCCACACTTAAAACACACTAACTCTTTCGAATTGCATTGATTAGTGAAATGAGTGTTTAATCCACACCTCAAGCATTTCCTATCCCCAGCTTCATTCAGCATAGAGACTTGTTTACTGTGAGATCGCGGCGTTTGTTTATTTAAGTCCGCTGTAATTTTAAAGTTATTCAAGTTAGGTTCACTAAATTGTTCCGCACGCGACCGCGCAATTTCTAACTGTTTACAATAAAGTTTAAGTTTGTCTACAGAGATTATATCATGTAAAGTTAAATCTTTCATGTACTCTGGTCTAATGTTATGCATCAAGATTTCGAGTTGTTGTCTACTCGACAACGGGTGATTGAGTCGCGAAAACATTCCCTGCATAATGGAAAGATAGACTACTATCATTTCGTATCTGGCCTGTGTACCCTGCCTTATTTCATTTAATAGTTTATAGTCTAAATCGGGAATATCAAAGTCGTCCCTTAAGCATTTCAATAATTGTGAATATGAGTGGATATTATCCTTATTACTTCTAAACCAACATAAAGCAGAGTTTTCTAAAAGATCAGAAAAAGCTGAAAGTTAGCGGGTTTCAGTAATGTTGCGAGCCTCTAAGTTCCTCAAGACGTTCAATAAATACACGAACACACGTGGTTCCGTCAAATTTTAAGTTAAATGTATTTAGGTTCAAGGGTTTATCTTTCACATAGATCACGTTACTTTCCACTTTCTGGTTAGACGGCTGTGCCTGGGTTTCCTTGTATTCACTATCCGTGTCGCTATCTTCACCGTTTATGATACTCAAAATGCGAATCAAACGACTACGAAGATCTGACAAATGCGAACTACTTTCAGAGATACGAGCCAGCCTATCCATCAAATAATTTGCACGACGAGACAGTTTAAGAGTCAAATTGCGATCATCTATTTTACCCGCCTGCAGCTGGGATTCCAGAAGTTCGACCTTTGGGGTGCAGATCTCTAGTTCAGAGGCTATACTGGGTGACTGGAGTGGTTCATACTTCATGCTTCCACGGCATGCGAGTTTGTACACCTAGCGGATCTGCTTCCTCAAAGCATCGGTGGTTACATTTTCATCTGTGGAAACACCAATAACGGCGAGTTCATATCTGATTTCATCTTTATGTAATGAGTCTATATACTTGTGGATCGACATTTTGTTAAAATGTACTGACGGTTATAAAAAGTCTTAAATCGGTTGATATTAAAAATATCTACTTTAAATAGCACAAATATTTTTATAATGTTAAGTTTTAATTCATTTAAGTACATATAAATCACATTCAAGTTAAACTTTCTTTGTTCTCAAGCTTACTTAAATCTACCTACATCAAAAAAATGTTAACATTAAATTTCACTAATTTTTCATATTAAATGGGTTTTTAACAGCTCAAATAGTTGCAATTAAGGTTAATTCATCTACTAACATCCAGCAACTTAAGGCCCCACGTTGGGCGCCACTTCATAACACTTTTTAGGGCGTTACTCACCGGCTACGGTCATCGGAGAGTTAAAAGACTCGAGTATCAAAATAAAAATATCCCAGGGCGCCTGTGGTTGGATGATTAGTAAATGAAAATTCAAAGATACATATACAGACAAAAGGTAGTTTATTTACTTCTAAAGTACATACGGATAGCTTCAAATATCAAGTTGTCACTTTAAAATACCCTGGGAACTGAGGTTTTTGACTAACCTGGTGGATTACACAATATTACATTGTTTATGGTTAATCCAGCGAAGCAGTGAGGTAACAGATGTCCTCCAGGTGTACTCCGGTCGCGTTCTCCAGGCCGCCCAGTCCCAGTATAGCCACCAGTTGAAGCTGCCTCGCCTCGTTCACACAGTTAAACTTGATAATGGGCCATACTCAAAGTAAGGACTAAGGATCCAATTTATGGGATGATGTGTTTCAACACATTAAACTGCCTGTAGACATTGTGTTTAAGGGGCCGTACGCCCAAGTACTCGTCACTTTAAATTCATGTTCCGGCGTTTCGATTCAAAAATTATATGTGTGCGTGTCCGATCATTACAACGGCACCTCCAAAAAAAAAAAAAAACTAGGCCTCCCTTGGGCTACGCGCCACCGTCGATCCATGGTAGGATTTCGAACTAACACGAAAGGTCAATTGCATGCAATTGCAGTTTTGTTTTATTGCATTTAATTGCAGCTAGCTCGATTCGTCAATATACGTTTCTAGTTACTTCGGACTAATGACGTTAGATGGCGCACTGATGTCCGTTCATCAAATGTAATAATATAAATATGCTAAAATGAAGTACACGAAAATTTTTGTGTTACAAATTTTCGCTCAGGACGTCCTTTCCGACTCTGCTATTCACTTCTGCAACATACATTTTCTTTGTCACTCTTTCCTCATTCATTCTTTCTACATGAACAAACCACCGGAACATTCCTTTCTTAATCCTGGTCACAACATCATCTTGCAAACCACACTCTTCTCTTATTACACAATTTCTTACCCTGTCATTCAGATTCAGCCCTAACATACTCCTTAACGACCGCATTTCTACTGCGTTCATTGTACTGTAGTCCTTCTTCTGCCACACCCAACTTTCACTACCATACGTTAAAGTAGGGACCAACACAGCATTTTGAATTGCCATACGTGCCTTTTTCGACACATTTTGACTCTTTACAATAGAGTGCAGGGCCCCATTTACTCTATTTCCCGCATTCACTCGTTGTTCTATATCCTTATCATATCACCCATCCCTTCTATCATTACGCAGCCCAAATATACAAACTCATCTACTTGCTCGATCAACTCCCGTTCTATTCTTATTTCACAAATCGTTTTACTTTCTTCTCTTTCAAAAACCATAACCTTCGTCTTACTTGCGTTTACTTTCATACCACTTTCTTTTAATGATCTGTTCATTAATGTAATCATCATTTGCTACTCGGCCGCCGACGACGCAAGAATAACTTGATCATCGGCGTACAAAAAGCATTTGACGGTTAACTCACCCATTCTTAATCCGCATTCTTCAACTTTCAAATTTTGCAAACAACTGTCCATAAATAGGTTGAACAGCCACGGGGAAGCCACACAGCCTTGTGTGACACCTTTATGGATGTCAAACCAGTCCGAGTAGACCCCGTTGATCCTAACACAAGCACTAGAGTCCCTATAAAGAGACTCCAATGCCTGTATCAAGCCAGCGCTTAACCCAAATGAGTTTGCCATACCACAACCCTATCCACCCACAATTCATGTGCATTAGATAGCCCGCAAGATGATATGAGAGTTGCATAAAGATCCCTAATTTTGGCTGGTGACTGGCACTGCACAGCTTCCTCCATGGTTTCATCCCAGTGATTATCGTTTTCTAAAAGATGCAGAGCTTCACATACTTCTCTATAAGTTGCGCATTCCTGACCGTTGACAGTTTTAAGGTCTTTATATCCTATAGGACCCCGAACATGGTGCAGCAGCAATCGTAAACAGTAACATTCAAAATTAGTTACATGGACGGTATACACACGACCAAGGGCATCTGATGACTTTACACCGGGCCAATTTGCAACAGGCGCGCTTGAATACGGCGTTTCCACTCTTCCCAAGATGTGAGGTATATATCCAAGTATAATAGCGGGGGACTTCAGAATATAACAACGTTTTTGCAAAGGGGTCGGTTTGACAAAGTTGAAAGAAGACTGTTAGTGTAGTTTTTGGCGGTGATGCAATTCTTTCTTGGAAATTTCTTTCGGTGAAATATACACGCTCTCCATTTTCTAAGTGCACAGCAAGGCGAGTAACTGTTGGGTGCCTTTCGTTTAAAGGGAAGCCAAGGAGACGCCACGCTGCCTCGTTACTGCTGACATAACTCCCTGCTTGAAAGGTCTGTACTTCATTAGCGGGATTTGCCTCACCTTCACTCCTGAGATTAAATATTGCTTGGTCGCTTCCTTTATTTATGTACTTACAGATATACTTGATTGCGCGGACAGAGCTACTACATTAATGTGGGCATTAAAAATTTTACATAGAATGGGTGAATACGAGACAATCCAGCTGTTATCTAAGGTTTCGAACGCTCCAGAGCGAGATTTGATTGTAACTTACATGCTACCATCCTACTCATTTCATTTCCGGTCAATAAATATTACTAAGGCTTATTACTAAGGCTTACTAAGAACTGTTTCTACCACAGTTAAGTAATAGTTTAGTGTGAAAGCGTAACAGGTGGTGATAGTATTTCTGATCCATACTTATAATCACGTCTGTAACCCTTGCGAGGTAGGCAGAGCATCAACGGATTACTTAATATCGTCTGCGAAGTTATCGCCTATTCTGTGAATTACAATGCACCAAAACGTTTGAAGAAAATCAAAAAAATTTAGGTTTTTTATCGCTCTCTTCCCGATCCTGCGTGGAAAAATACAGATCCATACATTTTTTATCTTAATTTTGGTAAAAAGACATAATAATCCAGATATTCTGACCTTCTGTGTTCGTCCATCGTACCGTAGTCCGTCTTGTAGAATCACGGTAGCGCCACCTAGCTGAATTTAATTTTGCAACATATTCGATTTTCCCACGGGAATGATTCCGCTGAAAAAAGTAGCCTATGTCACTCTACAGCCACCGAACTATCCCCATACAAAAAATCATGCCATGCCGACTCTCTGTTGCGACGTGAAAGAAGAACAAACTTGTGCAACATATTCGATTTTTCCACGGTAATGAGAAGTTTTTCCGCGGAAAAAAGTAACCTATGTCACTCTACAGCCACCGAACTATCCCCATACAAAAAATCATACCATGCCGACGCTCTGTTGCGACGTGAAAGAAGGACAAACAAACAAACAAACACACTTTCGCATTTATAATATTAGTATGGATAATTCTAATTATAGTTTTTTTTTAAAAAAAAATACTTAATCTTGATAATAGAGAGACCTTGTATAATATTTTCTGTGACTTTGTTGTCATAGCGTATACATTGCCGCAAGAATGTATTATTATCTCTGTGGAGTGGAGAAACTGATATCACTATCGTGTGTTTGTTCCTAGTGTTAACAAAGTGTGAATTTAGTTAAAAAAGTATCGAGAGTGGATGATTTGTTTATGGTTACAAATTTAATTTTTGTGTTGTTTTTGTTAGATTGGCACAACTGTTTTCCATTTTGGCGCGAAGTTTGAGTTACATGTGTTATTTATATAATGCCGGCGCCACACATTGGATTCAAATTGGGTCCAAACTTGGCTACGAATTTATGGCTAATTATTGTATCCAAATTAATGCGGCCACACATTAACTCCAATACCTTTTGGCAAACTTATTAGCCAAGAGCATTGGATGGTTGGACCTCAGCTTAACTCGTCATTCTCTTGCGAGTATGTACCAGCAGCAGTCATGTCGGACGAGAACCTACTTGCTCTGGCTACTTACGCCTATGCATTGAGCACACATTATTATTACTTGGTCAATCAAGCTGCAGTTACAAAAAGGAAACCAAAGAAAAGACGATTCTGGATGATAAAGCACGCTGATCGAACAAAGTAAGTCCTTGATTTAGATATTTAAACTTAAAACTAGCTGTTTCCCGCAAATTCGTCCGCGTTTCCGGGATAAAAACTTTCCTATGTTAATCCTTGGGCTTCAACTATCTCCGTACCAAATTTCATCAAAAGTAGATTTTGAGTATATTCGTTACATACATACTTACTTTTACTCTTTATAATATTAGTGTGGATGTAGATATTTGTTTAGAAATTATGTATGGCTACATGAATTTAAAAAATTGATTGTATACTTTTGTTTATTTCAGAAACGACGAAGAAAGGAATTTTTACTAGCGGACTTGATTCACGAACCTTCAGGACAGTTTGATAATTTCTGTCAGATGTCGTCTTCCGATTTTGAATTTCTACTTCAGAAAATTGGACCAGCAATAGCAAAAAAATTCACGTTGGAGATAGGCTATTCCAATTAAAGTTCGCTTAGCAGTAACGTTAAGGTTTCTGGCCACAG